AATGGCTGCCTCTGACATGAGAAACAGATGCCATGTGCAGCCGCTCCTAACATGGAGTACATCCTGTATCTCTGGATCAGTAATCCTTAAAGGGTACTATCAGCCGGGCCAGCTGAGCCCAGGTATTTTAGCGAACTTGTTACTGCTCCCCCTCCTCCTTTTTATCAAGACTTGGGACCCGCAAAGGTGGTTATACATAACCTGGCATCCTAACCTAAACCTAACTTTACCTTAATTAACAAACAGAAAACGGTAGAAAATGAGGTTTTATTAATTTTATAATAGAGATAAAAAAATAACAAAAACCTTGTTCATAACACAAAAGAGTAAAATATAAGTTGTTTCTAATATTTTAAAAATATAGATAAAATTTATAAAAGCTAAAATATATAAAGGTAAACCTGTCTATAGCGCCCCCCTCTTGGGACTCATCAAAATAGTGCTATATAGAGGGGGTGCTATAGACTGGTTACTTTTAATGTAAATCGCATCGTACTACGTATTTAAAATCAGGCGATATAGAGAAGAAGGGGCTATTTAGAGGGGGCGCTATAGACAGGTTTAACTGTATATATATAAAAAAGAAAAAACAATTTTAAAATGGCATTTGTCAAGAACATATCAGCAATGGCCGGCTGCAAACTCGCAACATAAACGATGAGTTGTCCCAAAGGGTACTAATCTACCAATTACGGCTAAAATGAAATTTTTTATTTATAAATATAATTTCCATCTATCAAAAAAAAATTTAACAAATAAATTTACTGGCAATGTGTTTATTTTCAATAATATCATCAAATCTCTACAGACCTTACTTCGATGATATAAATTATTGAATTAAAGGGCTTGGCTCATCAGTAGTGAACCCTCTCATTGGTTTTGCCAAATTAATCTCTAGACCGCTCTACTATTGTATTGGATTGGTGCATTTTCTATGGAAGGCAGCTTTGGAGTGTTTAGTGAATCTATGGACATAGGTTTATATAGGTCTGTAGAGATACATACATATAACACTGTTGAGGTAATATTTGATGATATTATTGGAAAGAAACATATTGCCAGTAAAAATTTATTTGTTACTAAATATTTTATGTAGAGAAATATGCCATAAAGTACAATACAATTTGTTTAATGTTGTTTGTTGTTATACTTACTGAAAAGCAGACGATCAAGACTTGATAAAGCCTCTCTGCTTTCTTCTGGCCTCTAAAATCCTGAAAAACAAATACAAGTTTTAAAAAATAAATTTAAAAATTAGCTTGTAGACAGGTGTAAAGAAAAGATACTGAATTGTGTATTCATGATGATCTTCTGTGATAGTAAGCTAAGGAACCAAATGTTGCTAATGTAAAGTAATAATGAAATTTTATGTGTTTAAATATAATAGTTTTTTTGAAAATTAAATGGATATTTCTATTTTATAAATAATATATGCAAAAATATGTAACAAAAAGTTTTAGAGATTGTGTTAAACCATTTCCATACGTCATTTGCTATTTTTATTTATATTTTATTATGAATAACAATGTTAAATACAATTCTCAGCCATTTTATTTAGTGAATGCATTAATTCGATTTTCAACTTTCTTTTGCGCTTGTGTTATGATTTCTGCAGAAAATGTTATCAAACATGCTTAAATATGTTTTCAAAATATGCCACTAATGTTTGTAATTATAAAAATTTTCTTACCATATGTGTTGGGATATTCTTAAGGAGATCCATAATTTTGATAACTTAAATAAATTTAAAGTCTAAAATTTAAAAAAAAAAAACTAAAGATTCAAATTAAATACTAGTCGGAAGTGTCGTTTTCTAATATATTTACTTCAGACCGGAACCAGTTGGCGATATTTGCTAGTTCACTCAGCGCCCTCTATTATAAACAAAAATTTTAATTCAAAATTTTAATTATTAACAAAAAGCTGGAAACCCATCCAAGCCCAAAATACAAAAAACATAACAACAGGAATTGTAATTGGCAAAAGAAGCATATAATAAATTAAATTATCTTCCATTAAATTCATTCGAATAAACAGAAGATGATGATGATAAATTCATAGACTATTTATATTTTTATTTAGCAAAATACAAATTTCAATTTTTTAAAAATGATTTGCATAGTTTTTAAATGTTTACTATATTCAATATTTATTGAAAAGATACATTTTTACAATATGTTGTTCCCTTTATCTTCTTTGATAAGATTTTTTTTTCCAAATCGAGAAATATCAATTGAAGGTTAATATAATTTAAATATATGTCCTAATTTACCAAATACCCAAGAGGTATAATTTATTTTCGACAAAATAAGTATGTTAAACTGTAAATATGTTAAGCTTGTGTTGAATTGTAAATACAAATTCATCTATCTATAAATACACCGTACAAAATAAACGTGGGAGCCAGCGTGCGCGGGCGAATGCTACAGCACGCCGCGTGCGCGCGCTCACTTGTGTGGAACGAATTCTTTTCGAAGCTTACATGCATAACTGTTGAACCATTCCATTCGATCACGACATATATATTTTTTTTCTCTTCCAGATAATATTTGGAACTGATTATATTATTTTTAATATAAGTTGATGTCATAACAACAAACTTGGGTAGTTTGCGATTTATGGTTACCTCCAGTAACCTAGGCATACATAAATGTTACTTCCACCTACCTCTATTCTTCCCAGAGTTATACACAATTGACAATTTAAAAATTATATTGACTCTTATAATAAATTGTTACAGAAAAAAAGTTGTGAAATAAAGGGGTAGTTTATAATAAAGGGTAAATACAATGTAGGGAAATATATCCTTCCTTCCTTCCTTCCTTATCCTTCCTTTCCTTTCCTTTCCTTATATCTATAAAAATGAAATGCGAAATCGATGTTTGTTATCGCTTCACGCAAAATCTACTGACTCAATAATTATGGAATTTCGCATGTAGGTAGCTGAAGATTTCGTTTAACATATAGGCTATTCAAAAAACTAAAAAGTCAATGTGCTTTTTTCAAAAAATAAAAAACCAAAAAGCGTTAGTTCCAGCCTTTTACCGCTTGGGCGCAGCACTGGTCGCGACGATAAATAAATTTGATTGGTTAATAATTAACACGTGGTTTGTTTACACGATGAATGTTAGTTTGTTCACACGATGAATGTTTTTAAAAGGTAAGATTATCCAATCGCCGTGAAACTTTAGGATGTTATTTACTATACTACTGGGAAGATTTCTGGTTTGAATTTGATTTGAAATAAATATTCTTTGCAATTTTATTTGCAAATTTTCTACTTTCACTCGCAAGCAGCGCCTCTAGCGGTGTCTGGTGAAATTATATTTATAAATTGTAACAATGCTTAAAATGTTTTCCAAGTATAATAAATTTAATTTGAGAATTTAGTAAAAAATACTTGGCATTTCAATCTATATATATAAAAATGGATGTTTGTTGGTCCGTCCGTTTGTCAGTGATAATCTTCTACATCGCTCAACCAATCGAGAGATTCGTTAGACAAACTTTTACTCGGGTAAAACCCGGGCGAAGCCGGGTACGTCCGCTAGTAATATATAAATGAGTTTTAAAAATTGTAAAAAAAAAAAATGCATCGGTCGGGAATCGAACCCGGGCCGCCCGCGTGGCAGGCGAGCATTCTACCAGTGAACCACCGATGGTTATGAAAAATCCCATCCGTGAGCTTCAGACAGACAAACAAACAGACAGAATAAGGCAAATATATAAGTAGATAAGGAGATTACTAGATTGAATAAAGATCAGTTCAACTTGTAAGTCGGAGCGAGTTTTGTCCAGATAACACATAAACTTTACAACATAGTTCAGTGGGCGACTGGATGATGGTGAATGCCTCCAGAATGAGAGTCCTGCTGCAGCGGCAGGATCAGCGACAGGTCGTTGGACACACAGGTGACGGAGTACTGGGGATGATACTGAATAGGGCAAGGCATGCAGAGCTAGCCTCATTGTCACCTCCGCGTTGTGCCCAGAGAAGGCTCGGCGAAGGAGCGACGACCAGCCATAGTTAATGGGCAGGTTTATATGTTTCTCCCACATTATAGGCGTGGGCCCTCTAACATGTGATGGGCATTTCGGATGATGACTCGCGCAGATTTTCGTCGAAACAACGAGGCAGAAGTTGGTCAGCTGATTATCTTTCTCGTTTTCACTTTCTCAAATCAGTAACTGGAAATTAGTAAGCTTCTTGATGTTTAAATGTCCAAATTTCATTGAATAAAAAATTTGAAGCACAAACTATCTTTAATGAGGTCACTCCTAACATACATCTTGTTAGTTAGTAGTACTTAATTTTAAAGCCAGCACGCAATTTCACCTTTCATCCAGTATCATTTTCGAAGTGTTAGGTTTAACCCTATCACAAGCTACCACACCACACTCTGGTGGTTTTAATCTGGGACTGATAAGAGTCCGAATTTTCCAAGGTTGGTGTTGTGATATTTTCATCTGACCTTGCTGCGTGGCTTCATAAATGGTCTATAGAAGGTGGAAAATTATTCATACCTGTAGTAAGTTGCCTTCTCCAAATGATTTATAAAATTATCTTAATGATCTGGTTTAGTCAGTTTTCCTAGTAAATATTTCCCAAATAATTATTTTAAAGGTCTATTATTATTAAGAGCATGAGTAATTTTGATATAAACTATTATCATGATTTAAATCCCCAAACTATGCTAATAAGGTTGCTCTGTATAACCAAAAACTGTGAATTTAATATATATAAATCCTTACTCAGAAGGATTTATTATAAAATAATTAAAACCTGCGATCTTTCAGTGTATTGTAGTGAAGAAATCAAGTCTTGGTATATCTTAAGTTATGAAAGCATTTATTGATGACATCAGCAAAACTAGTCTACAATTATCAACAACCAAAAAAATATATATATATATATTTATAGTCACGACCGTCTGTCGTGGCCTCTGTCACGGATAATATACAGTTATCATCGTCATGCGTTCTTAATTCTGTCACCGTTTGCTTTTGGTTCAGTGGTAGAATGCTCGCCTGCCACGCGGGCGCCCCAGGTTCCCGGCAGATGCATTTTTTTTTTCACAATTTTTAAAACTTATTTATATATTATACAAGAATGACATCCACGGCGCCAATTTATAATTGTAACGAATAGTATTTGAATAAAAGCATTTAATCGGGTAAACCCCGGGCGTTGTAGATTATCAACACAAGGTAATAAGACCACATCCATGATAAGGTACAGTTTGGATTATAGATTATAAACACAAAGTAATAAGACCACATCCATGATAAGGTACAATTTGGATTATAGATTATAAACACGAGGTAATAAGACAACATCCATGATAAGGTACAGTTTGGATTATCTATATATATAAAATTGAATGTCTGTCTGTTTGTCTGTGTGTACTCTATAGATTCAAAAACCGTACATCCAATCGCCGTGAAATTTTGGGATATTATTAGGCATATCCCCGGAAAGGTTTACGAAAAATAATATCTTGAATATCTTTAATATCCTTAGAGTTATTTGCAGATTTGTAGCTTTAACTCGCAAGCAGCGCCACCTTGCGACGGAGATAGGCTTAGGTCTGCCCCCCACCCCGCCCCCCGTCCGGCCGTCAGTCCAAGTTCCCACCGACCAATCAGAGGGATCAAGAGCCCCCACCCCCGTCCGGCCGCCGTTCAATCAGAGGGATCAAGAGGTCCTGGCGCGCGGGGGGGTGGGTGACCTCCGGGAACTACGTCCATCTTCCATAAACGACCATGATTTTATTCAACTTATCGAGTATTTTTCAAGGGACCGGGAAAATATGTTCACTAGATAAAACGATTTTGTAATGTAGAAAATTAGGAAAGACAAAATTCAGGATGACACGGCACACAGGGACCGGAAAAAATAATCACTTTATCGAGAGATTCACGACCATGATTTTATTCAACTTATCGAGTATTTATCAAGGGACTGGGAAAATATGTTCACTAGATAAAACGATGATTTTGTAATGTAGAAAATTATGAAAGACAAAATTCAGGATGACACGGCACACAGGGACCGGGAAAAAATATTCACTTTATCGAGAGATTCAAATTTACGAGTTTCAAATTATCAAAATATATCTTTTTTTTTCATAAGTTTATAGAGAATTGTTTTAAAAAATGTTCGTTAGACAAACCTTTAACCTCGGGCGAAGCCGGGTACGTCCGCTAGTAGATTATAAACACAAGGTAACAAGACCACATCCATGATAAGGTACAGTTTGGATTATAGATTATAAACACAAGGTAATAAGACCACATCCATGATAAGGTACAATTTGGATTATAGATTATAAACACAAGGTAACAAGACCACATCCATGATAAGGTACAGTTTGGATTATCTATTTGTTTGCATCAGCATAATATAATCTAATCTCTGATAGAGGGCGCTGTTCGTGAGCTAAGTAGAATAATTTTAATATATAGTTTTAATAATTGATTTATATATTTTTAAAAATAGCCTATCGTCTTCCCCGTATTTTTTTACCTATGTATGGAAATTTTGGTTTGAATTAGTGAACTACTGCGAATTTGTATACCGGACATACAAACAAACAAACAAACATACAAACATTCATTTTTATATATAGAGATATTCCAATAAAAATATATTTTATTTTTATCATATCTCTCTCTAAAATATGTACAACTTATAGTCTATTTAGACACCATTCCTTATATACAAATTCTAAAAATTCGTTTGAAAAATATATTCAAACAATTTTTCAATTATTCATTGTTACTAGCTAATATTTCTATTAAAAAAAAGCAATTTTTTCTGTTTATTGATTATTCTCTTCAAGCATTTTATTGGCATGTTTTTTCTTTTTACCCAGGTAGAATACAGTAAAGAGGGTGGATAGAATAAGGCCAATGATTGCAAAGGGCCCTCCCAAAGGAAGACTCGCTAAAAAAGGAATTCCCAAAGATCCACCAACAAGATGGGCTGGATAAAGATAAGTAAGAGGATGACATACAACTGCTTTAAAAAATGGTTTTGTTGCTTTTGCGCCCTTTTTAAAAATACTAATGACTTTCTGTTTACTTGATTTCGAATTATTATAATCTATATTATTGTTTTCTAAATTCATATCAATTTTATTGTCTTTTCTTTTGGTATTTGTGAATTTTCTGAATTATTTTTCTCAAATATATTTTCTTTTTTAATTAATTTCTTACGAAAAATATTCATTATTCTTCTAAATAGTCCTTTTTTCCTTTTATTTTGAGTTTCTGTACTCTTACTCAATGCCCTTGGTTCAATAATTTTATTTGATACATAATAATTTGGTCTTCCAATTCTTATATTGATCACAATATGAATTTTTGTTCTCCCATTTAAATATAGTTTTATAATTTCATTTATTTCATTATGTATTTCTTTTACTTTTGAATTTTTTGATGATTTGCCGATTTTCAATCGATGTAATTTTCCAAGAGATGTAACTAATTTGTCATTAAGAATTTCCTCTTCTTCAGAATTTAATTTATTTTTCCTCTTTTTCAGTAAATTGAATATAGTTTTGAGCGATTTGTTTTTCTTTATTAATACGTTTATTGGGCAAGTTAAAATATCATCTTTTTTCATTTGCCTTATTATTTTATTTAAATTATTTTGTAATGCAACTACATCTTCTCTAGTTTTCAATTTTGTAAGGGTTAATGCATGTTTTACTTCTGGATCTTTTCCAAACATTTTTTTTTGCGGAATAAAGTTTTATTTTACAATTGAATTAGACACCAATTTCAATTTACATTATAGTTTGAAAGACATTTTTAAAAATATTAAATGTAAGCATTTTAATAATGACAAGATTACTTTTTGAAAATTCTGTAATATTTTTAAAAATTTTAAATTTTATATATTGTATCGCAGACGTGCGCATATAAAGAAATACATAAGAGAAAAAGGAAGAGCCACTTAGTTTTTAAAGAAAACGGGTTAGCCAATATCCTGAATTAAATTTGAAATTAACGATTAGTTGATATTTATATTCCGAAAGATGACGCTTTGTGCCAATTAAAAAAAAAAAAAAACATTAATCCACTATGATGTAGTATTTTAAATAATTACAACTCTCTTTAAAGCAACAAAAGAATTATTTATTGCATTTAGCAAGAAAAGAAAAAAAAACTAGGAATACCAAACAAAACCTTTTTAGGTTAATCAACCTGCAACCACCTACCGGTTAGTTCCTTTTCAAAATCTAGCTTTCACACAGAGTATTGAAAAATAAAATACGACATATGGGCATAAATTTCCATTCTCTCATTTTAAAATCCCAATTTTTTCTCCTATTCTCTCTACATAGTTTCCTCTCTCCTTTCATACAACTATACCTAAAACGAGGCACCTATCCCTTTAATTATCTTCTTCTTCTTACTTATCTCTACTCAATCATATTAGGGTATCAAGCTTATAAAGCTTGACAACCATCGTGACTGGGTTAAGTAGAATGCATCTGCCTTTGTCATTAAGACTGGGAGCACTACTCAGTGGCAGGCTGACATAGCTCCAAAAGAAATGGCTGCCTCTAACATGAAGAACAGACGCCATGTGCAGCCACTCCTAACATGGAGTACAAACGCTTCTCATCCTGTATCCCTGGATTAGGAGCCCTTACAGGGTACTATCATCCGGGCCAGCTGAGCCCAGGTTTTTTAGTGAGCTTGTTACTGCTCTCCCTCCTCCTTTTTCATCTGGGCTTGGGACCGGCAAAGGCGGAGTTCAAACTTGTAGGTAGATGTAAGAATGGATGTTACTATCCAGCTCTTGGTTGAAGATCCATAAGCCTGCATATTGATCTCATAGGAGGCTTCCCATGTCACTTGTTACTGCTCCCCCTCCTCCTTTTTCATTGGGACCGGCAAAGGCGGAGTTCCTTTAATTATGACTCAGAAGGATGCATTAGGTTTCTTACCATGGTAAAAAACTTTAATTGGGACCCAGCATATTCATCTTTTTGCAGTGTTGGACAGAGATTCTTGAACCAAGCCCCCCTAGCAATAACTTCACTAGTGGTGATAAATAATGAACCACAACATCCGTTTTGGAAAATTCAGACATAACCTTTTTTTTACTAGGGTAATAAACATAATGCAACAACAACAACAACAAAAATCCTTTATTCAGGGTCACTGACCCTATACAGGATTCACCAGAGGTATGCATAAGAACAAAGCAGTGAGACAAAGGAAATAGCGATAAATACAGAAGAAAAGGAAAAAAAAACAAGAAAGAGAAAGAGGGAAGCAAGAAAAACAACACAAAAAGAGTAGCAGTAAGAAAGTGAGGAGTGAGTGTCACTTGGCCTTCTTCTGAGATATGGACTTGTGGAAACCATAAAACGCCGTAGCAATATACTTATTCTGGGTCATATTGTCAATTATTGATGGAAGTGAAGCACAGAGTTGCCCAGTTTTGAGCATAAGGGTTCTTCTTTCAGAGCATAGCAATCAAAAATATAGTGAGTGATTTCATTTTTTTAGAATAAACATAATGCATCATTTTGATATATAATTAAATAGAGATGTATCTTTTTATCTAGATGAATCCAACAACAACTTTATGTCATACATTCATGGACAACACTTGAGGTACATTTTAGCATGTAATCGGGATTCATACAATAACTCTGAAATATTTTACAGTTACCTTTATTGAAGACACAAGAGATAGCCAAATGTAAACAAAATTGTCTTTCTCAAAAAAATAATAAATAAATAATAATAGATGACCGGCGACATAAAAAAATTCCCACTTCCTTAAGTTTTGTCTATGAGTGTATATGATAAAATATATTTGAAATGCCATTGTCCGCGAATTTCCTTGAAAACCTATCCTTTCCATTTAACTGTCATGATGATGGATGGACATTTTTTTTCCGAAAATATTGTCACTGAATAATTATTTTTGAATACAGTTGAACCTGTCTATAGCGCCCCCTCTAAATAGTGTCTCCCTCTCTATAGCGCCCGATTAAAAGTGACCTGTCTATAGCACCCTATTTTGGTGAGTCCCAAGAGGGGGCGCTATAGACAGGTTTAACTGTACTGTTGTTTATGCAAATGTCTTGGTAGAGAAGACAAGTATTTCAAAAGCTTAATTAAAAATAATTTATTAATTAAACTTATATATTGCAAAATATGTCAATTGATTTTCCTAGTGGTAATTTACAAGCATGATATGGGGTGATGATTATGCAAATATTTATGATGATGATAAACAACAGAGTATTCAAAAATAATTATTCAGTGACATTATAATCTTTTTTTATAAATAATGGTCACCTTTCCCTTCAGAATAAACGCTGAAACTTTGCACAATTTATTGACCGTCTCTGAAAACAGGGGAATCGTGTACCGGCGACAAAATGATAACATCAACTTTGGAAAACTCAGACTAGGTATTGTCATCGACCTGAGTTTACAAAGCCGGTCAATAGATGGCACTTAGTTTCAACTTCCATTATAAATGGATGATGATAAAGAATCTATCTTATCTTTTGATGGCTATCACATAATAATGAGGATATCTATAAATGAAAATGTGAAAAAAATAGAAAAATGGCCAGGTGTTGATATTAAAAACAAAACCACCCCCTTTAGTGATGAGAGCTGACAGCTACAGGGCGCGTCCCCAGGTGGCGGATAGGGGAACGACCTTCAGATATGAAGACCAGCTGCGAAATAAGTGTTTTGTGCTTGTCATTAATATTTAAAACACATTTACATTTAATATATTTTATTCAATTACGATCAAAATTACATAAACATCACATTTAATTATATATCATTACAAACAATTATGACTACATAACATTAAGCCAACTATATATCTTTTTGTTTTCGTCACTGGTCCAATATTTTTATTTTCATAGACTAAATTATGAGATTAATTTATAAATGAAAAATATGCAAAACAAATAAACAACTATATACATCAATAAGCAGAATAACTCTGACGAATAAGCAGTCGCAGACCAACAGCAGCATTGTTAGAAGAGGAGAAAGACCTCTTTATAAATCCTGACTTCAACTGACCCGGTTGATAAGACCTCAGCAATGGTCCCACTCCAGGGATACGGAGGAGCTGCGTCTGTACTCATGTTAGAGTTGGCAGTAAAGGCTTCCATGTTAGGAACGGCATCAAATTACAGTCAAAGTCAGACTTTCACCAAAGTGTGCCTGGATCATGGTGCCATGATGAATGAAAGCTGCACCCCCATACCCCATTCCATGAGATCACTCATGGAATTTGTGTAATCTTTACACAAGGGGATAAGAAACAACAACAAAACCACCCCTGTAGTGACGAAGGCCAAAGTCCTAAACCACTGTAGACAGGTTGTTGGCTTTTTATCTGAATTTGCCAAAACTGGTGCTGTGGATCATTCTTTATCATGACTAGTAAACTTTTTACCAGGGCGATGTACAGTGCCATTGTTCTGATGTACTTTTAAAGGGAGAGGTGTCTCTTTTGGTATATCTATATTAATAAAATGGAAATTTCATAAGTGGACATCACTAAAAACTTTCGTTACAATGCATCAATTTCAACCAAATTTTCAACATTTATGTAAAACGAGATGGAGCAGGTTTTGCTTAACATCAAAATATTTTTCCTAACATTAACATGCGTAACTTCGCTGTTATCGATTAAATACAAAAAAAATCAACAGAGTTAATTTTATTTATATATAAATACAAAATTAAATTTCAACAAAGTTAATTTTTTTACATACTAGCTAATAATCTCAATCTAAAAAATATTCAAAACAAGCAATTTAAATATATAATATAATATATATAATATAACGGTATAAAGAAATAATGAGCCTATCGTTCAAATTTATAATTGCAACGAATAGTATTTTAATTAAAACATTTTAAAAACACACAGTTTGGAACGGGACGTTTCACAAGAGTGACATCCATGGCACCAATTTATAATTGTAACGAATAATATTTGAATTAAAACGTTTTTAAAATATATACGCACTCGGGTAAAACCCGGGCGTTGCCCGGGCCATTCGTCTAGTATTTAATAAATGCAATAAATAAAGATAGTTAAACCTGTCTATAGTGTCCCCTCTTGGGATTCACCAAAATAGGGCGCCATAGACAGGTCACTTTTAATGTAAAATGTTTAAAATCTGGCGTTATAGACAGGTTTAACTGTATATACTCTTTTTTTCAAAACGACACTTGAAGTTACACCGCATGAGTTTCTTTTCAAAGAAAAATCAAAATTTTATTTCAAGGTGAAATATTGACTATTTCTAACCTTTTTGGATGAGGTATGAAAGGGTGAATTATGAAGAGTAATGATACTTCACATGAGACCTAGCATATCTTTTTCCATTTTAAAACTTTGTTATATTCCCTCCAGTGTCCCAATAATGCTAAATAAATAAAAAACAACAAAATTAAGAAACAAAAATTTATTCACTTTAGTATAATTACATAAAAATACCTATACAAAGCCATTAAAAATATATAGTAAGAAAAATTCTCAATTTATTTATTTAAAAAAAAAAAAATAACAGAATCAAACAACTGGCAACCTTGCCAACAATGAACTACATTTTATTCACACAACTCCCCAGTAGGGGGGAAGAAAAAGCAAGAAAAAAAAATTTTACACACAAAAAAACATATAGTTTTTTAAAAAGAAAAACGAATAAAAATGACAAGAGGAATGAGTAAATAGAGAGTATATATATGGAAGCGAAGAGAAAGTTGATCAAACAAGAGCTTATTTATAATGGTGCCAAAAAATATATTTTTGAAGCAATGGAAAACTTTTATTTAGTAGAATGGGTGAAAGAAAGGTTCATAGATTGGGGGGTTTAATTAATACTCAATATACAGTTCAACATACTCGGTGATGAGCTGAAAGACTTATTGAGGTGAAAGCTGGGATTACAGAAAGAGATAGACAATAAGTATTGTTGAATGTAGGTTTGCCACTGTTCAGAGCATTGGATGATTTCAACTTTAGGGATATTCTATTTACACAATGGAGACTAGTGGTAAAACGTATAGAGAGGTGAATTTGGTATAACATAGGATGGTATAGTCGCTGTTAGACCTGGGGGTACAGACAAACTGTATTACATCAGCCCAACACAAGTTGACAAAGTTTTGATTTGAAGTGTGGGGGTATATAACATATATATATATAAAAAATTTCTATATAAAAATACAATAGAGCAAATCTTTTTGGAATAACAGTGGATTAACAAGATTTTTCTGTCACAAGAATTTGATGGGGGGGGGGGAGTCAAAGCTAGAGAACCACTGAAATCTTTACATTCTGGTTTCTAGAAAGAAGAGTGTATTTGTACACCAACAGGACTTTTTGTGACAATGGAAAGATTTAGACAAAGAACTAGGTCACATGGAATTTAGAACAAAGGGTGACGGAGTGATCGTGGTAGCAGCCATTTAACAACAACAAGGGAAGATTTAGAGATCAAGGGTGTTGGAGCGCTCCGTGGCTACCACCTTGAAGATTCCGTCTTCCTCTCCATCGCTGGATTCCATGTTGGACCTATCCAATAGGATATCCAGCTGTTTGGGAGTCAGCTTGTACTGCTGCTCCGTGCTCCTCATCTCTACGTGGTCCTTGGACTCCAGGATGCTGAGTAGTTCCTCCGCACTCAGGGTACTGAACTTCTCACTCTTGCCCAGGAATCTCCCTGCGCCACACTTACTGTATCTGGCAACTTCAGGTCACCCTCCCAAGTACTGACTAGACTTGATATTGCTTAACTTCCGTGATTAGATGAGAACTGGTGTTTTCAACATGGTATGGCTGTAGGAACTTCATGAGGTCTGTAAACTTTGTAGGAAAAAAAAAAAGGCCTGACCTGAGTATGTGATTGAAAGTTGCTGATGGCTACACATCATGTCTGAATAAATATCAACAATAAATGTTGATTTAAAAAAAAAAATTATTTCCAAAAAAATGGCTAAATACTCTTTTTTGATACATAAGTCAACCATAAACACATTTCAGATTGTTGATGCTTGTCAGTGTGGGGTCTGCTCCCATTCAGTTCCCGAGTCAAAATGAATTATTTAGAAAGGAGGATATATTGCCATCTCACAGAGATCTATAGCCAAGAATCCTGTAGTGAAGTTTTATAAATAGAAAGACCTCAATGTGTATAACTTAACCATTCTTACAACCAAATAGTCACTCCTGGAGGTGGTGGTCTCTTATCAGAGGCTTAAGTTGAAAGATTTGTCCAGACAGTCTCTGGTGAAAGACAACTTCCAAGAAAAAGCGGGTATAACCATGGTCTCTCATATCTTCTTATCTCCACTCAACAATCAGAGTACTAAATCCTGTAGAGCTTGTTGATGGTGTCTGCTGGGGAAGGAAGAGTAGAGCTCATCAATATTGAGTCAATAATGTGGTTTGGGGTTGCAGGTTGACCCTTTTAGTACATAGTGGGAAACAACCATTCTGGAAAGTCTACGTATGTAGATGACCAGACTTAAGTCTAGAAATCAAAGATTGCTGTTCCCTTGGGAGGACAGAATGGGTGCTTGTCCCATTCATGTGCAGCAGTAGATTTCCATTCTTGCTAGCATTGATGGTACATAGGAAGATCTCTCATGGTACTCCCAAGTGAAGGGTTCCTACCTTTCTTCATGATCATCTTCTCCAGCTTGCGTTTGGCCGTGGCTCTCTCCACAATGGCCTGGTCCACAGTGTTGGCTGTCACCAGGCGGTACACCACAACTGGCCGGTTCTGGCCCAGTCGGTGGCATCTGTCTTGGGCCTGGAGGTCGGCCTGGGGGTTCTGGGAACACCACATGGAAGACTGAATATTACACAAGCCTCCAGTCTCATCATCACCTAGTATACACATGTTGACTATAAAGAGAATGAAACAATTATTTTTTTCCTTCACAGATCCAGGTACGCCATTTTAAAAATATTACAACAGATGTTAAGGTACAATTTGGATTATAGATTAGAAATAAAAGGTAATAAGACCAAATCTAAATAAATAATAGGAGAATGACATCATGGTAACAAAGCTGTTACCAAAACGTCACACGCTATTTATTTATTTGGTCTTATTACCTTTTATAATTCAACAACAGAATTTGATTGCAATCAACTTATTTACTTTAACCGGTTAATCACCTACATCAATTCAACGCCCTGTTTGTTGACATGTCCTAAGAAAAAAAAAGATCCACTAGCAGTAAATGTGGCAATAAATTGATAAATCATCTTGACTATAAAAAATTCAAACTGAATTATTGCTTGGGGTGTATTGAGGAGGAGTGTTATTTTTTTTTGCTTATCCCTAGTACACGCGGTACAGGCCATGATAATCATGGTGGGTAGAAGTTGGCGACTGCTTTTACTGTAGTCTACATATGTGAAAAGCAGTTGACTTTGCACTTACAAATGTTCCAGAGCCCCGTTTTGGTTACTTGCACTCGCTGGTGAGGTTGGACTTTTGCAAGAATCGGGGGCCATTGGAGCATTTTTTTATCAGAAAAAAGTGATCAATGCGGGAATCAAACCCGGGTCATAGCGGTCGAAAACCTACGGTTTAGACCATCCTTCCACAGACCCCCCCCCCCCCTTTTTTTTTCTTTAATTATCCCTAGTACACGTGGTACTGGCCATGATAATCATGGTGGGTAGAATTTAGTGACTGCTTTTAATGTAAGTGCACCACATGTCTACACATATGAAAACTTGTTTACAATGTTCCAGAGCCCTGTAGGAGGAGTGTAGTTATACATACCCAGTCCGAGTCGTAGATAATGGCGGTGTCAGCAGCAGTGAGGTTGATGCCCAGACCCCCGGCCCGGGTGCTGACAAGGAAGATGAAGGTGCTGGGGTTGGTATTGAAGTCCTCGATCATCTCCTGCCGATCCTCCAACTTCATGGAGCCGTCCAGGCGGCAGTAGGCAAACTTCTTCATCATACAGTACTCCTCCAGGATGTCCAGCATCTTCACCATCTGGCTGAACAACAGGACCTGCACCACACTTCTTTACTCAAATGGAAGAGTTCCTTTTGAGACTTGTTAAGTGCCTCTTCTTTTTAAATTTCATCCACAAAGGGGCCTCTTACATAGGTATGGGACTTAGACTGAAAATAAGACAATTGACAAAAATTTGTAGAAAATACAAGGTGCGTTCATTAATTTCCAGGACTGGTTAAAAAATAAAATAAATAAAAAAGCTAGAGAAAATATTTTTTACAGAGTTGAATATTGGACATTCGACCACACCTGACTGAAAGCACGAGTCTCGTGGCGCACGCGCCGATCTAAAAATAGAACAAAACAACTTCCTTGTAAGGTTCGCATTTCTAATTTTAAAATGGCCATTTTCGAAGAGCAGAGAATCTGCATTAAGTTTTGTTTTAAATTGAAAAAAAAGTGATACTGAGACGTATGAATTGATTAAAGAAGCTTTTGGCGATGCAGCTTTATCCCGTTCAAGAACTTTTGAATGATTTTCACGCTTCCAAAAAGGTCGGGAAAAGGTAAACGATGATCAGCATACTGGGCGTCCAAGATCATTTCGTTGCGAGGAAAACAAGCTCAAAATAAAGGAGTTAATTAAATCTAACAGAAGAATTATCTTCAGTGACTGGACTATCTGTTTATTTGGGGATAATGAGGTGCTTAAGGGAGGCAGTGCGCCTTAAAAGACCTGAAAGATGGCAAAACAATGACTGGATACTTCACGTCGGTAATGCGCGGCCGCACACAGCCCATGTTGTTTTGCAGTTTTTGGCCAAGCATTCAACCATACAGATCCCTCATCCACCCTATTCCCCCGACTTAGCCCCCAATGACTTTTTCCTCTATCCTAAATTGAAAATGAACTTGAAAGGACGGAAATTTGACAACGTTGATATGATACAAGCTGAATCGAAGGCAACCTTGAGGAACCTCTCAAAAAGTGATTTTATCTCCTGCTTCGACAATTGGAAAAAAAGATGGAACGGGTGTATTGAGGAAGGAGGGGCATATTTTGAAAAATATTGAATTAGTTTTTTTATTTGTTTTATTTTTTCAAAGATACAGAGCAGTCCTGGAAATTAATGAACGCACCTTGTATATCAAATACTATTTGATTATATCATATTCTTGATTGTCCTTCTGCCAATTTATTGTATTGTTTTCTCCCGTAGAAGGGCTTTCATGCCAGAAAGTTACATTTTCAAAATTACCATTATTACTAAGTAGCAACTCTCCAGTATGAAGACACTTCTCCTTAAAGGACACTTTGGCTCTCCAACTAGGTGTCCTTTACAGGGAGGTTCTACTGTATATGTTTCAAATTTTCATAGTAAATGGTGTACAAGCCAAACCTTGTGTCCCCGTTTCTTGAGGGGAGGCAAGAGGGAGTCGAGCAGGGAGAGCTTGCCACTGAGGGACACCATGTCAGGGTGGTAGATGTAGTGGCCGCTGGGAGATACAGGCTGTTCCACCAGGTAGGGATGGTTGCACACCTTGCGCAGCTGCATCATGATGTTGTTGATGGAGTGGTTGCTGTGCAAGTCTTTCACCACCTTCACCTGCTTCCTGCAATATACCACTTCATCTAAGTCTGTATAAAAAGGCGTAACTGGATCTGTAAAGAAAAAAAAAAAAAAATTTTTTTTTTTTGCTCAAAATATTTTGAGATTGCTCCCTCTTTATCAATTTATTGTACAAGTTGAACAAGATTATATATATATATATACAGTGGTACCTCGACATACGAGTTTAATTCGTTCCGCAACCTTGCTCTCGTATCTTGAATTACTCGTATCTCGAAGCAAATTTCCCCATACAAAATTCCCATTTAAAATCACAGATTAATATCTTCAACACTACCGAACCGAACTCGTATCTCGAATTTCGCTCGTAACTCAAAGCAAAAAATCACTTGCTCGTCGGCTCGTATCTCGAAAAACTCGTATGTTGGGGCGCTCGTATGTCGAGGTACCACTGTATTTTAATAAAATTACCTTTGTACTTTTGTGTGAATGTGGTAACAACGCTGCTACCGAAACGTCACACACTATTTATATATTTGGATTTGGTCTTATTACCTTGTGTTTATAGTACAGTAAACTGTGGAATGAAATGAACAGTAAATTGATGGATCGTCTTTTGACTCAAATTATCTAAGTCTGTCTGTGGACTGCAGTCTTTTATATTACAACCTCTTCTCAACCCTTTTTTATTTAATTACAATCTGTGCATTTTTATACACAAGGTAATAAGACCCAATCCGAATAAGAGCATCAACATCAGACATGTTCTGAACTTTTGACGTAAAAGACTTTGAGAAACAAAAAGACAAAACTTCTATCTGATGATGGTAACAACGCTATCACGGAAATATCACACACTATTTATTTATATAGATTTAGTCTTATTACCTTATGTTTTAAAATCTATAATTGTGCCTTATCATTTAACAGACTTAACATTGACTTTGAATTAATCAACCATTCTTATCCCTTGAAGTGTTGGATTAAATAAAGACTGTATAAGACATCACCAAACAACTAACAGGCCATCTTCAAGCCACTGAAAATAACAACAAAATCTACTCCACTTGTCCCAAATGTAACTTGGCACCTGCAGCTCCAGAAAACATTTTGACTTATATTAGATGTACTAAACAGGACCTTTGGGAGAGGCCGCTGCTTATCATCAAACAGATTGAGGAGCATGAAGTAATGTAATCTTTACACAAGGGGATAGGAAATGACAACACAACTTTTCATTATTGTAGGTTAACATTTTTTTTTTTTTTTTGCTTATCCCTAGTACAC